TATTTGTTGTCGTGTTGGGAGTGGAAATTTGATTGCTTTACTTTGATTTGGTTTGTGGGTTATGAATGTGTTTGTTTTTTAGGGTGAGAAAGAGAGAAAAAATATGGTGGATCATGGCTGAGAATGGCGGCCATTACTGCCCGAAGAAGACAGATGATATGTGTGGTGATTTTGCGGCCAAGATTCTGGTCGGGTCATGAGCATATAATGGTAGCAGCATTCTGGCCAGGAATCGAAAAGGTAGGGTACCATTTGCTTCCCCAAATTCTCATGTTGTCATGTTCCTTATTGTTACACAATTTCCTGATACTTTCCCTGCATGCAGATTGTCATCCAATTTGCTGAAGAGTTTGTCATATGCTAATTTCATAGCTGCTAAGGTATTCTGGCCTCTGATCTTTGAATTGGTAGGTTATCATGCCTTTGTCTATGCATCGTCGATTCACTTTTCGTGTTCCTTTTCATATAAGTTGATTTTGTGAACAACCATATCCTATTTCAGATTGCGTCAGGTTATTGGAGAATTAAATATGGATAGTGCAAATGTCATCCCATCTGCCAAACCACAGATTTATCGATCGTCTGTACCATGTGAGTGTCATAGTTTAGCACGAAATTGTTTCAATGCAAATTGACATTAATATTTTCCCTAGAATCTCATTTGTTTAGGGAAACGTCGAGCAGTTTTTATTCATCCTGAAGATCAGTACCAACGTTGTGTTTTATCTGCTGAAGAGGAAGAAGCATTTGAGAGAGGTGTGCTCTCTGTGTTTTAATTTTTCTAATTAGTTCATCTATTCAATGAGTAATACATGGTTTTATATTTAAATTCTGCAGAAGAAGCTGCCTTACAATTCCAACTCTCTCAACTTCGGCGAATGCTATCCCAAGTCGCCCGTAAGAGAAGACATCATATTTTGAAACAGAAGGTTCATAGGAGGGGCTTACCTTTTGAACACCAAGGTTGTTGTTTGCTATATTTTGTAGCAAGTCTTACATATTAGGCTATTTTGTATTGTTCACTCTTTATTTATTTCTTTATCAACTTATTTGTTTTGGTGTTGTTCATAGTTTGGGAGCCTCAGTTTATATTTCTATTACAAAAGCAAAGTCGATTACTTCGACGTATTCATCCGCATAGAAAGAGACGTGGCCGAAGTTTCTTTCCTACAGAAGTCAATCAAAGTATGTGGATTCTAATGGGCACTGTTATACATGACATGGTTCATCTATATTTTGGATCAATTTTTGTACATTGGATATATGTTTTAGGGTTCTGGTCAACATATTTTGTTCCCTATTTTGGTCTTACAACATATAATGTACCCATTTATGTCATGTATATAATTTAGTGATGTACGCTTCATGTGACCTTATGCAAATAGTGGATTGTTTTTAGATGTGTCAACGACAAATTTGTGTGTTTTGAACAAAATTTAGTGTTTCCTTAAATTTTAGTTATTCTTACTTAAAATGAGAAGTATACCATTCTATCTTTCCTTGAAAACATTTGTCTTAATAATTGTGAATAATGTAGCGCGAGTACATGAGCTTGACAGTTTCTCAAACTCATTCAATTTATCAATTACTGTGACAATTACCTCCCCGCAGAGATGTGCCCGAATTTCTTAAAACTCTACTTGAAGGGGATACACCATTAGCGCGTCACTTTCGTACTAACATCAGAGCCTATAATGGGGTTTTTTTGCTTTATTTCTCTCGGAGGTAAAGTCAATCACTCTATTAATGATGGTCGTGGAGTTTATGTATATTCAATCAGTGGTCAGATTTATCATCGAATAGGATATTTGGTTCCTGGTGATGGGGATAGTCCGAAATTTGGACAGCTTTACATTCACGATTCGGATAACGAGGTCCAGAATCGTATGGACTTTTACTCCACTGATCCTGCCAAGAATCCGTTGCGCCAATGTATTGTTGAAGGCCTCCAGCATATGTTTGATGACAATAATATCCTGGTACGTACATTTCGTTCTGCGTGAGATAGGATACAAAACTCTGGTGTCCAGGAGCTTCAACTGAAACTATTGGCTAAGCGTGAAATTAATAGTAGAGAATATGATTTGCCCTCTGCGAATGAGATTGCAGCATTGATTGTAGATGAAACAGGAGAGCAATCATTTTCTCCAGATATAATTGTTCAACAGAAGGGTTTAGAAATGGAAAGGATTAGCGTATACCATCCAAGTCTGATGGCATTACAATATCCAATTTTATTCCCATATGGCGAGGATGGGTGGCATCCCTGCATTAGCTATAGTCACAATAGCTCTAATATCCGTGTTGGAGATAAAATGATAACGCAGTGTGATTTCTATGCATATCGTCTTCAAACCCGTCTCCAGGAGTCGACAGTAATGGACACCTTTTCAATACCGTATTCGAGATGGTTACTCGGTATCAAGCTGAGTAGGTGCTCGGCCTCAGCTGGTACGTCTTTTCTCTCCCTTTGTTTTGAATTCGGAGCTGTGATTTTTGGTTTAGTTCCTCGATTTCACCCTGTTCGTAGGATGGGGTGCGATATTGTTTTCGAGTGTTGTACAATTTACACTTTATATTTCTGTGTATTATTGATAGTGGAGAGTTTCAGATTTTGGTGTGAATTAGAAATGATTAGAGTAGCCATTCCATGGCAATTTTATTGTTGGAAAGGAGGGGATGCTCGGTGTTGAATGTGTTACTTCAAATCCAACTGTCATTGTTATGCAGATTACCTTTAGTATTTCTGCATAGAAATATGGGTTACTATTTGGTTTCACGTGCTTTACTCTCTATACTTGCATCTATATCCAACATCATGAAGGTGCACAGTTTTATCATATTCTTAAGGGTAATTTTAGCAAGTAGTCTCATCGTTCTAATTCTATAATCACAGTGTCTTCTGGCCTGGCCTTTGTAATGGAATTAATTGTTATGATTGCCATCATACAATGACTTAGAGAATGCTAAGAAGTAAGAAGGAAGAACCAGAACAGTAGGCATATGGAGATAGGTGGTGGGTAGTAATGCTCTGTGTGTGTGTCTAATGCCTAAAGTGGGGGTCTCCTTGGTCGTAGTGCTTGGATGCTGCTCTAGCCAGGTAGTATCTTTAGTAGTTGCAGCGGTAGCGGTGGCCAACTGAGACTGAAGTAGCTCCAATGAATCACCGAGCGCCATTCCTCGACCCCGTCTCGCTCTAATCGGCCTGATTCGTGGCCAATGGAGACACGAAGCATTGAAACCGAGGTGGATTCAACTAGGGTTTGACGAAAAGAAGAGTGCTCACGATTAGACTGACGGATGGATCAGATCTGTTAGAGAAAATCTATAGGACGGATAAGGTCAAGGCAGAGTAGGCGAGCCATTGACCGTCTAACATGTAGGGGTCGAATGAGAAGCTCAGAATTACAAAACTCATGTACTCTTTTTTTCCTTATGAAATTTCATTGGTTTTCTATTCATACATGGTTATACTGAAATCATAGTTGGTAGAAGAAGATAGAATAAATAACCTTTTCTGGGGAAGTTCTTCTCCACAAAGAATAAGCTATGTATGAACGATATGGGGCTCTTTTGCACTACGTAACCCTGGTGGGGATATGGCTGTGTATGTTGTGTAGATGCACTGCAGTCCGCAAAGTGCCTTGCTTAATCACGAGGTTTGTTAGTTTTCCTTTACTAAGTGATTATCTGGCTTAGTAGCTTTTAGAAACCTCTTTGTCTGGCTGAAAATGGATGTTATGTCATTGTTGTAGTGGTTGGTTAGTCTTCAGTCATAAGAGTTGATTTCTAATTTAGCTTGATTGTTTTTGCCTTGATGATGGATGTAAGATGTTTTACTGGTACCTTTTGATTTTGCTCCGTAAATAATTATAAGACATTGAAAACTGAACTCCAGAATTGCTTATCACTATTAGCGTTGGCCAGCCACCATGGGACCATCTCCTCATCATGCGAAGAAATGATTATGATTTCAACAAAGAAGTGCTTTCTTGGTTAGTTGATGACGTTTACTCACCTTCCAACTAATATGGATATGTTGTTAGTTTCCTGCTTCTCTTTACCATGAAGTTTACCTGAATGCGTTCTTCATTTTGGTTGGTTAGAATTCTAATTTAAATGCAATACTTAGATATTAGAAAGGGAAAGAGTTTTAGCACCTACTTCCAAATTTAGGAGTTAGACAAATCTCGCATGTGTTGAATTTAGATACCAAATACATAACTGAAATATATAATCCAAACAATGTTCACATTTGTTATTGAATATCAAATTGGTTTTCTTTCTTTATGAAGTCATGAATCTTTTTTCATAAAATCCCACTTTCACGACAGACGATTGTATATTTGAATCAACAAGTGTTTTATTTAATAAAATTCCAAATAAATACTTCAAATATTTGAGATTTTGGTCAATATAATAGCTTGGACTATCCTTTTACGTCATTGTCAACTCTTAAAACCACAAATATTTTTCGTGAATCATATAAAATTAAAGATCCCAAATCAAGTAAATCATAAATATTGATAAAATAAATTATACGAAATATAATGAAATTGATCCGACCAACGGGTCGGGTAAAAGCTAGTTGGGTTGATATAGTAAGTCGTTTCCAGACATGTGTTTCTCAGCAAGCGCACCACGTTTTTTTTTTTTCATTTCTGAACGAATATACCCCATAATATTTAAGTCCGCTTCGATTTGGAACTAACGAAAAGGATATTTGAGTCTTTCTCGTGCTTAAATCCCACTTCATTTGAAGACAATATCTCTACTATCATTTATGTGTACTCTGTTTCTTTTCTCGTTTGCTTCCTCTATCAGTCAGTCTAGCCATGGTGGTGGTTGGAAACTTAGCGCTTCTTCTAGACATGACGATGCCAACGATCATCATACTTCCCGAGAGGGAAACACGTCTGGTGGCTCTTGATCTGCTATTGAGCTTGTCGAGGCGGTAGCTTCATCGTCTCACCGGTTCTAGCAATGTCCATTCTTATTCTCTGGCTGGGAAGGGCTTCAAATCGGAAGGGGAAGCGAGGAATCAGATATTTGTGGTCCGCGGGGAGGAGAATTCGAAGGTGAACGAGGTGGATTTAAAAAGCAACAAAGAGAACGAGAACGGGAACGGCGAGGAGGGAGAAGAGGATCCATTCGATTGGGAGAAGGCGATGAGGAAAAGAGTAAAGCAAATCAAAGAGATGAGAGAATTGGAGAAGAAGGTTGAGGAGCTGCAGAGCCAGGAGGAAGAATAGATAAGTGAAAGTGGTGAAGAAGGGAGAGAAGAAGAAATGGTTAGCATTTTGCTCTTTGGTTCCACTTATGACAGGTAAAAGCTACACCCTTTTTTCTTTAACATGGTGGTTATGATGCTCTTCTCGTCCTTCGGAATCCTATTTATTAGACAATTTTGAGAACCCGTGTGTTTGTGCTTTTTGGCTCCCGTTTCACGATTCACTCTCATTGTAGCTATGCATCGTCATGGACCGATAAATACAAAGACAAGGATGAGAAGAGTACTTGGACGACTACCAACCAACTTCCTTCTTCTAGGGACTATTTAGGAGACCTTTTGCAATGCCGGCCGCCCACTGGGTTGGAGAATAACCAAGCTTTCTGGGTGGCTCTCACATTTTGGCTCGGCTTGGTTGGAGCTGCCATTTTTCTTCAAAATTGAATCTCATTAGTGCTACTAGCTTTGGGACAGACCTTGGCTGAGAATTTTTTTTTTTTTTTTTTTTGCTTGTAATTTTTCTTCTTCAAACAAAAATTCGTTGTATGTGTTCTAATTCATCTAAAGAGAGATACAAAAATTGTTAATGACTTGGTTTCAGATGATGAAAGTGTTGCTCGCGTCGAGCGCAAGATGCCTGCTCCTCTGCCCTTCAATTTCACCTGCAAACCCTAACTCTATCTTTTGCTAAGAACAAGTGATGAATGAAAAGGGAAATGATATAGATCGAAAAGCAATTGTAAACACGACAGAGAAGGAGTTATAGAGCAGGCTCGAGGACACTGGGCTTATTCACTTGAACCCAGTTCCTTTGGTGGTACGAAGTCAGGCCCGTAGTTCCTACCTGCTTACTTACTCAAAGTTGTGCGTTACAAGATCGATCAGCCAACTCTTACTTTCTGATTTGCAGATTCAATCTCCCTGTACTCAACGAAACCAATAAAAGCTGCAGAACCAGAGCAAGAACAAAATGCAGAGATTGAAAAGTAAGGAATCAAACAGACACAAGCACTTTTACGTGGTTTCCAGAGCTGGGAGAAAATGAATCCCAACTCTGACTACTCCACGGACGAGAAATCACTTATTTGTGATTCTCGCCAATTCACTAAGTATGTTTGATTTGATGCACCGATTTAGAGTCACACTCCTCGACAAGATTAACCAACCACTCCAGGAAGGTTAATCCAAGACTGTCTATAACTACTCTCCAACCCAGCTATCCAGCTACCGTGTCTTCCAACACACCCTCTAATACACAATCACTCCTGATCTTGAATTAGAGTTACTTTTCTTATCAATCGCCACTCACACACTCCTTAGCACTCTTGTACGAATTGATCTCCAGAAAAGTTACTCCTCTTTGATTTCGAGTGTGCTTTTTGTACTTCTTAGAAGCTAGCCGTTGATCCTCAAGTAAGGTAAGTCTCATTTCTGAATTCCTTTCCTGATTTGCTTGCCTGAGGTGATCCTTCTGTTGTACCAAATCTGCCACCCTTGCAACCGATGTTTCTTTCCAAATGCAGATTCGTGATGGCCACGGCTTCCTTTTCCTCCTTTGTGATTAATGACTGGTTTTCTTACAACAGTCTCCCCCTAAGCCATTTAATGATCCCCTCAGTTGCATATGTAGTTCTTGCACACACCTTAACACCTTGTTACGTGCAGACTGCTCCAAAAGGTTTGGATAAGCTAGATCAAAACAAACAAAATCTTAACGAGGGAGTTTTTATTAGACAATCAAAACTGACACTTAAGACATCCCGACACAAACTCTTAAGACGACCTAACACGAGCTCAGAAAGACAGAGCTTTATTCAAAAATCAACACTGCAGACTCTATGACTAACTCTTCATGAATCCTACCAACTTAATCCCAAACATGACATGAAACAACCTTTCCTAAGCTAACTCCCCCTATGAATGATATTCATCATAAAACGAATATTTTGGAGATGGAACATAATCTGAGATTGCATCTTCATTCTCCAACATCAGATTTCCACGGCTGCTTGCTTCCTCCTCATGCCTGAACATGACTCGAATAGCCTCCAAGGGATGCATCATTGGTCATTTACCATTGTCTCTGACCGCTCCAACCAGATCTGCTATATCTGGTTCTTCTTCTGCTTCATCCCCACCCAATTCGGCAAGGCTGAGTCCATCCTCCTGTGAAGGAACTGCATGAGCAGCTGCTTCTCCCCCTGGAGCATTGACCAGAGGGCGACGACGGCCTACAGACGCATCTACCTTACGCATGACGAACTGATCATGAAGGGAGTTGAGCAAATCCACATGAGCCACCTTAAAGCGCAAATCAAGACCTAAGGCCAACAGAATTTGAGTGATCAGTGGGGCAAAGGGAAGCTCGCCATCATAGTTGTCGTCATAGTAGTTCAGCATGTGATCAAACATAAGGTGAGGATAACTAATGACTCGATATTCCTTGGCACTAGCAAGTATCCACAGATCCAAATGATAGATTGTGGTGAGGCCATGAGACCTAGGCAGAAAGAACCGAGATATATAGAAGTGTAGAACTTTGAGATCGTCAGGAAGTCTACCAGAGTGGAACTCGGAGGATAATAGCGACCACTATCACGAGTATACAGACGAAGAGCATCACCCTCATTGAACTCAACATAGTGGAAGTCAGACTCATTCATGACTTCAACACCAGTAATGGGAATGCCAAGCAGAAGAGACAACAACTTAACATTGATAGTTATCAGATAGTTATAAACTATCGTTGTGAAACAGGGCGGAGAGATGTGATAGCAAGGTTTCATGTTCGCATAGAACATTCGCACTGCATTAGGACGAAAACCGAAATTTCGATTAGGGAGTATGTCCCCCAACCAATGGTATTAATCAGGCAGGAAATATCCCTCCCATACCTGTTGAACCTGGATGGATCAAGGGTGATGGAGGGGCACAATGGACGATCTTGGAATTTGAGAAGGTAGCGGGCATACCCTGCAGCATCATCAAATCCTTTACCATTGAAAATAGTTGCTTGAGCCAATCGAGGGGCGCCATATGTTGATTGGGGCCAGCCATGATCACTTGAGGATGGAGAAGGAATTATATGCGATAGAGTATTTAAGTGATGAAGAGGAGGACTCGAACCTAAGGCTTTTATAGTTGAACAAAGGACTGACAAAAGGAAGAAAGTGCAGGGAAATGGAAAGACAGGGATATGGAAAGACTTGAGCCTAAAGAATAGATGTCCTACGTATCAAGGAGAACGGACAAGAAGGGAAACCCTGATTCACAATTAAGGAAGGTCTTGAGGTAGAGCTGAAAGTTCAACAATGTCACTCAAAGAGAATATACCTAACTCCCGCTGGATGTGAATGAAGGATTCAGAGCCCAAAGGCTTTGTGAAAATATTGGCCCATTGGAAATTTATAGGGACAAACTCAACATGAATTTTTCCGTCTTGAACCAACTCTCTAATGAAGTGGAAACGAATCTCTATGTGCTTGGTTTTAAAATGTTGGACTGGGTTCTTAGACATGTTTATCGCACTAGTGTTGTCACATAGCACAGGAAGGGAGCCAAATTCTAAACCATAGTCAAGAAGTTGGTATTTCATCCACAACAGCTGTGAACAACAGCAATCTGTTGCAGTGTATTCTACTCCTGCAGTTGACAAGGCAACAGAGTTTGGTTTCTTGCTAAACCATGCTACCAGAGAAGTTCCCATAAAGTGACACGTCCTAGAAGTACTTTTCCGATCAACTATGCACCCTGCATAGTCTGAATCAGAGTAACCAACTAACTCTAAACTTGACTCACAATAGTACCAAAGTCCAAATTCAATAGTGCCGGCCAAGTATCTAAAAATCCGCTTGACTGGGATAAATGGCTCTCCTTAGGTGCACTTTAAAATCTAGCACAGACACACACACTAAATAGAATGTCTAGTCTACTAGTTGTCACGTATAAAAGAGATCCAATTACCCCATATACAACTTTTCATTAACAAACATACCAGACTCATCTTTATCTATTTTTAATGACGAAGCCATGGGAGTAACAGCAGATTTTAAGTTGCCAAAGTCAAATCGTTTCAACATGTTTTGAATGTATTTAGACTGACATATAGGGATGGCAATTTCGACCTGACCTGTTTTACCCGACCTGTTTGACCTGTTTTGGGGCGGGTCCGACCCGCCCCGTAGGCGGGGCGGGGCGGGCATGGGTAGTCTGATCGACCCGACCTGCCCTGACCCGCCCCATTCTCGACCCGTTCTTGTCTAAATTACATATAATCTTAGTCAAATTACTTAGAATTTTCCTTTTATTGCATCATATCTTAGCTATAATAAAGTTATAAATTAGTAAAAACCTCAATTTCTCCAATAATTTAACTACAAATGTCATAATATTGTTTGTTTTCTTAGTCTTATAATAAAAATAACGAATGTTTCTAATGTTTTCATATAAATTGCATACCCATTGGGTCGACCTGCCCCGACCCGCGACCCGTGATCAATTACTCGACCTGGACCTGACCTGCCACGGGGCGGGTTTGGGTACCAAGAAACCCTCCCCGGACCTGCCCCATTGCCATTCCTACTGACATATGAAGATGCCCTTAGGAGTCTGTTTTATATGTAAGCCCAGAAAATAATTTAACTCACCCATAAGACTCATTTCAAAGTTAGTCTTCATAAGTTTTTCAAATTCTAAACACATCTCCTTACTAGTTCCCCCAAATATAATGTCATCGACATACACTTGAACTAATAGCAGATGACCTGACTCTTGTTTAGTGAAAAGAGTTTTATCAACTGAGCCTCTTTGAAAACCATTCTCTAAAAGTATTGAACTCAGTTTATCGTACCAAGGTCTGGGAGCTTATTTTAAACCATACAAGGCCTTCTTTAATCTATACACATGATTAGGATATTTTTTTTATCTTCAAAACCTGGTGGTTATGCAACATAAACTTCCTCTTTCAAATCACCATTCAAAAAGGCACTTTTGACATCCATTTGGTAGATTTTAATTTTAGTT